TTTAAAATTCTTACAAATAATGTATTTGAGTAGTAAAAATAAATAAATTTAAAATACTGCACAAATTTATCAAGATAATTTTTATGTAAAATAGAAAAAAATTTGAAACTCTTTCTATTAAATTTAATTTTTTATATTTATCATTTATAATTCTTATCACGCTTTATTTTTAATTTAAATGATTTTTGTTATTATTTTTATATTTTTAAAATTTTCTATTCAAAGATATTTCTTCAACAATTGTGGTTGCTTTTAAGATAATTGTAAAGGTGCTGTAGAAACGAAGAACCGAAAGAAGAATGGTTGGAATGGCGATGCCAAAGTTTTTTAATCGAATTTTCCACAGTTCTTAAGTGAGATATGTAATTTACAAAATAAAATACTAAAATATAATCCATTTTTTAAGTCATTCAATTTATTTTTATTACTTTCTCCTTTTCCATTCTTCTAAACATAATCTTGAAGCATTTGTAAATGAATTAATCAAGAATATAAAAGACATAAAAGCATCTCTTTTTTTTTCTTTTTAAATTGCTGCGTTGAAAGAATTGTAAAGTGTGAATAAAGTTTCAAGTGAGTTTTGGGATTGAGAAATTGGAAGAAGTAGAATTTTGTATAGATGGGGTATTATTTTCAAGGCCTATAGAAATCTTAAAAGTTAGCAAAAGTGGGGTCTAAATGTTAAATCTAATTACTCTTATTTCTATGGTAGCCCATTTGTATCCCAAAAGCTATACATCGTTGCCAGCTATGTGATTTGAACTTAGTTGTAAATTGGAACATATGAGATGATTTCAATTATTCTTTTGTAATCATGCAAATATCAACTTGATCATGCAATTAGGAGCAATAATTTGTCTCCAGCAACTTAATTTGTTCATATTACTATAAATATTTACTATTGCTATCTCTTTGACTATACACAGTGCATGGTTCTATATTGCAACTGCCGACATATAAACGGTAACACACCCTCATGCACATATTCAGCTTTTCACTATCATAATATATATATATATATATATATATATATATATATATATATATATAAATTTTATAGCATTGTAAGTATAAAAAATCTTATATTTAATGTGAACTTTTTATTTAACTTACATTTAATAGTTAGTAAAATAATAAATTATAATTCATTATATATAAATTAAATAAAAAATTTAAATCAAATATAAAAGTTTTTATAGTATGAGAAAATCCTACCCTGTATATATTTATTTCTTACCATTATACTTGTTTACAAACGAGTATCTATTCTAATCCATATAAATATGAAAGACACCGAGACATATAAAATATCTTTATAAATTAAAATGTAAATTTTTTTAGTATAAAAATTAATTTATGAATATATTAAATATATTAACTAAATATATGTGTTAACTACTTATACTTTTAAAAAATATAAAACAACAAACTTAGTTAAAAAAAATTAGAATTATAACCCAATCTTGTCTAAAAAATTTTTATTCTTGATTACTAAAATTTTTTTAAATAGGTAACTATTTACATGATATATAATACAATATCAAAGTTTGTATTTTATTATAAATTTTAAATATGTAACTATTTCAATTTATATATAATATACTTTTTACATGATATATTAATTTTTATAGAATTTTAAAAAAATATTTTTTATAAAAAATAAAATATTTAATATATTTAAAATATAAAATTATATCGTAACTTAAAATTTTAAATAATTAATTTTATTACATGAATAAATTGGTAACTTCTCTATCATAATATAATTAAGCACTTTTTATTATATCAATTCAAATTCTCATTAATTGATTTTTATGGTAATGTTTTTATCAATTTTTATTTATAAAATATATATAAGTATATTTAGTTTTTGTTCAACTAAAATAAAAAGTCGTTTGTCATATGCAATTTATTTTTAATATTTTTCAAGTATAATTATAATGTTCTCAATTAACCTGAATTTATCAAATCAATAAATTCTATATCAAAAAATATCTATGATCTTGATCCATAAATATCTTTGACTTAAATATATGATTTTTGTTAGTTTCATAAAAATTTAAAAAAAATATTTAGTATCTTATTTTTAATTTTTTCAAGACAAATTTACAAAAAAGTATTATTAATTAATAATATATTTAATATTTATAGTTAATACTTGTTTATCATAGTTTTTATAGTAAAAAAATAAAATTTATGTTTCAATCTCTTTAAGAGTGTTTTATTATATTTTAGTCAACACCATTATAAAATCTTTAACAACATAGGCCAAAATATATATTATAAAGATAAAAATGTAACTTTTTAAATATAAAGATTAATTTGTAACTACAAGAATTAAATGGATCATTTAACTTAATAATAATAATATAAGCTTATTTCAATTGGATAAACAATGAAGGATTTAGATAATTTACAAGATGTGATAAGTTTAAATCTCATTATTATTATGATTAGTATTTAATAAAAATATATACATGATGGGTACTGGAGGATCTTTGGTGAAGAGGACTTAACATAGGTGGGTTCCTAACTTTTACGAGGCCAGGTGTTTCTCTCCAAGAACATAGGCCCGTGCTCCAAGCAGATGACTTGCATTATTGCTGCCTAATTTTGGTATAAATGAACATCTGATACATAAGCAGCTTTCAGCTTCAACGACACATTCAGAAACAATTTTAATTGTTTTTCGAAAGGTCTTCGTCTGCTCTTTTTATTCAAACAATTTCACATATATGGTTTACTGGTATCCTAAAATGATCTCATGGTCAAACATCTGTTATCTTTTACTTAAAGGTGCTATTTTAATTCTATCTTCATCTTCATACATTCACTTTTAATCAAGTAAGATATATTTGTTCCGTTTCTCACCATTCAAATATGAGCTATTTTTTAACATTTACTACAATACTTACTATCATAAAGCATTATTAATCTTATGTTAGCTTTTTTATTTTTAATTTTGAGAGATACGTTTTTGGATACTAATTTGACAGATATTTCTCAATTACAAATTACTACTTTTGATTTTATTTATAAAAAAATAATTACGAAATTTTTTATCATAAATATAAAAAATAAAGGCTTTTTTCAGATGTATTAATTGTTAAATTAATTTTATATTTTTATTTATTAATTTGTGTTAGCGAAGTACTTATCTTTTACTTATAAAAATATCATTTGTATAATATATAACTATTTTTATTGATGTATTTATTTTTTATAAATAAGACTGGGATAGAATGTTTGAAACCTTTTCATTTTTTTTTTCTTTTCTGTTTACTTCGTCAATATCGTTCCGAGTTAAAAAATTTGATCCTAACTTCCAAAGGTCTAGAATTTCAGACGCCGTATTAAGAGGCTCTTTTTGCTATGCTGGGGACGATGAGTGCCACCAAAACTCCAGAGAAACTATAATCCTTTTTGAAAGAGTGCAGTATTTTTATCTTTTTAAGAAACCAAAGCCAACTTCACAAATATGGCAATACATGCATTTGGCATCCTTTTGGCTGTACTTCACTCTGTTGAGATTTGTATCCTCGGATATCAATGTTGTACAATATGGATTTCTGCGAGCAGGCTTAAACCAAGATGGATGGAGCTTCTTGTGTGAGGCCGAATGGCATACTTACCTTGACAAGTGATTCCTCAAAAATTCTTGGTCATGCATTCTATCCATCACCTTTTCCAGCTAAATCTAGCAAAAACAAATCCACTGATGCAACCTTAGGTACTGCCTTTGTGTTTTCCATTGCTCCTATGTACCCAGATCTTGGTGGACACGGTTTTGCATTCTTATGAGACCATTATTAAAAAATTCTCAACCCGGTTCCTAGCCATAGAGTTTGACAGGGTACAAAACCTTGGAACTAGAGGACATCGATGATAATCACGTGGGAATAGATATCACCAACCTCATAAATATATCAAAGCTAGCAGCGTACTACTTCCCGAGAAATGGCCAAAAAGATCACAGCAAGAACATTTCCATCAATCTGAAGAGTGGAAAACCCGTTCAAGCATGGGTTGATTACAATGAAAAGGAGACATTGATGAATGTCACAATTTCTTCTTTTTGGCACGCCCAAGCGATATTTTCCGTTGATATCTTTTTCTATAGACCTACCTCTGGTATTTAATGACTACATGTATGCAGGTTTTTCTGCTTCCCATAGCTGAGCATAATGTACATGCTTGGAGCTTTAAAATTGGAGAAGCAGCAGAGCTAGATACATCTGCTATTCCATTTAATGGTCAAGTAGTTCTAGTCGGCTGGTAAAAAAGACTTTGCAATAGGCATCACTTTAGCAAGTGCAACTCTTTTTATCTTGATAATTTTAGTAGCTCTTCATGTCCTGCGAAGGATTAAGAAATGAGGAAGAGACTTTAGAAGATTCGGAATTTGAAGATCTATGAGTATGGCACACTCATTTTGGAAGTACTTTGTGGAAAAAGGCCAATAGAGCTATTGAACCCAGTTTAGATGAGTATGACAACGATGAAGCTGTGCTTGTGCTTATAGTCTTGGATTGCTTTGCTCTCACATCCCAATCCTTGTTACAGGCGTAGTAGAAGAATTGTCCAGTTCCTTCTGAGAGAAGCCGTCCTTCTTCCACTTCCTTTGACATTCACTGTGAAGGTCCAATACCAATAATCGGATGCCCGTAAAACTTTCCATATGATTCAGGTCCTTCAAGTTCTATTATGTCTTCATCAAAATATTGTAGTCTTACAAAGCTATAATGAAGTGGTCTCGGCTAGTGAAGTCACACTGATGACTTCATAGAAATTGTTGAAAATAAGAGCATATTGAAGAACCACATTGGTATGGATAAAGATATCTCTAATTTTATCAAGGGAAAAAAATCCAGAATCATGTCCATTCCATGATTCTATTATCCTTGTTTCTTTTGATAAATGTAGAGAACCATTAACCCTGTTCCATGTTATATTCAATTTTGAGGTGGGAAACAGACACATGGTCAATCGAACGATTTCACAACCTAGTTTAGGAAATTCAGAATCAACAGCATACATGACATGATTATTCATTCAACAGCATATATGTTGATCCAGTGTTGCTTAATTTAACTTAAAGATACATTGTTAAAACTATTCTTGAAACTTTTAACAAACAAACATTTGAATCTGGAACTTGCAAGAATGAAAAAAGAATGTTCAAACACACAATAATATATTCTAATTCTGCACAGGAACAGACTAGAGACTACTTCAGGAAAAAAGCAGATTTTTAGTTGACAGCAGCAAAGAATCCTCATAATGAACATCTATTCATCCTTCTTCTGCGATAATCCATTAGATAAGAACTAAAATAGGAAAATTAAAATCATAAATCTTTAAATCACATGCCTATTGCATGTGAAAATATTCACATGGTTTGAGGTAGAATTAGCTGCTCATGTATCATCCTGAATTTCTCTTTGAGCCTCTTGATCTGTAAAACCACCAAAAATTTGTACATTAAGGACAAAGAAGAGAAAGTTTCCATCTCTGAAAATTTGTTCATGAGAAAAATGATGTTATATGAATCTTAAAATACCCTTTTCAGTTCAATTTCTGTATCTCTCTTTTGCTGCCCCAATGAGTGCTGCAGATTGGTTATGTCAAAAACATTATCCAGGTCATCTTCAAAAGCAGATTCTAAGTCTTCCCGAAGAAGTGCAGGCAACTTGTCCACAATGGGCATCAAAAGGAAACAGTTGAACTACAAAATAGTAGGTATATAAGCAGTGCATAAAAGATAGAAGAAAATAAAGAGGTGAGAATTCTAAATTATTTATATTTTTCCTCATGATTTTTGGAATTATTTTAAGAGTCAAACAGAAATAATAGAGAATCATCAAACATTTTTTTTCCATTTCACAGTTTATTTAGATTTTAGATACATTCAGATTCCTAGTTGCGGGAACAGAATTCGTTTGCAGAGTTTTGCTATTTGTTTGAGTATTTTTTGAATGTTTCAAAATCAATTTTGTGATGAGGAGAAATTATTTTGACAGAAGTGGAAATTTTTAGCATTTCTGCTGACAATAATTGATTCCACACGAGACTCACAACATATCAATATTTTTACGTCACAAGTAATTATACTTTAAACTCCAAACAAAATTGATTGATTGATTATTTTAAACTCACTTTTGTGATATTATTTCCAAACACAAATCACTTTTCTCTTATAGTACCATTGTCATGTTGTAAAAGCAGAGGGGATCTCTTTGCCAAAAATATTTCAAAGCAGTCACATAATTTCAGCAAATATTGTAGATTGTGTATCTATATAACTCAAACAATCAACCTTCATTTCTATGCTTACTCCAGAAAGTTTTCACTTCAAGCAGGAAAGGAGGGCATTAACGGACCAAACACAAAAAGGCACATAAATGAACAAAAATAATCACAAACCTTTAATTCCGTGGAAACCAAGAAATATTCTCTAATGCCATGAAATATCTGTTGTACCAAGCCATAAACAATCCTTTCAGATGAAGGTGCAAGCCTCCTATTCCAGAGTGTACTATCCAGAAGGTCAGCAAGCTTTGTCTCCGTTGTCTGAATGGATGTGCTAGAATCAGTGCCAGAGGCCACATGACTGAGTTTTACATCCGGTTGTGCCTTTGTGTCTTCTTTCTCATTTGCACTTGTTTGTGATAGAACACTTGCTGTAGGATTATTACAAGAATTGGAATGTTCTGTTCCACCAAATGAATCTAAGAACTGACGTAACCCAGCCCGACTCTACAAAGTTGATAGTGATGTCAGAATGAGATATAAAAGGAGCCAGGTAATTTAGCTTACACATTTGCTCTCTCAGGATGATCATAGCTAAAATTAAAAGTAGGAAGTGGATAATCTGTAAATGCTCCTTAAATCAAGTATACCTACCTTATTGTGAAGAGACCATGAGACATACCGAGTGGTGCTTACCAAGTCCTCCATACATCTGTAGCAAAGCAGCATGGAATAAAGGAATTTATAAAATAGCAAATAAGCAACCAGGAAACTAATTTAACAGGTATCATGTATGATATGAAAAAAGAAGAAGGGTAAGTTATGGATGGGAATGTGAAGATGAAATACATACGATTCATGACTGGAAAGTTCAGTGCAATAATAATATCACTACATCACATTAGGTACAAAATGAATTCATTTTTGTAAGATCAAGTGAAAAAAAATGCACCCTAATATCTAAAAACAACAGCCATGGAAAAAATGAAGAGAGAAACATAAAATCACAATGTAATGTAAGAATACTACATATTACACTTGATGTTCTCTTTTAAAGCTGAACCATGCATCATATTCCTCATACACTAGTAGAATTTGATTCTATTTCTATAAAACTAACATATTATAGCAACTGTTGACACATTTGAAGATCTATTTCAACCCTCTTCCCCTTCACTCACAATTATGAATGTCATAAAACCTTGATTGTCAAGAGTTAGATTTCATTAATGGTTTCCGAACAACTGATGCAAGTATGCAGTCAATATTTTGACAGAGAAAATTTTTGGCTATATTTAGTGGTTTACTACAAAAATGTGTTGAAAATTAACCAAATTAATAAGAAAAAAACTGAAGGACAAATTATGCCAACCTCCCTTGAGGTTTGATCTTCGACAAAATTACATTGACTACTACTCAGCTTCAGAAATTACTAGCCCCCATTGAATTTTCACCAAATAGGCCTTGTGTTTTTTTATTTTCTAGACACATACACCCCTACCATTCAGCCATCCACACAACTGAAAATACACATAAAAGGAGCAATTATAATTTCCAAAAATAGAAGGCAGTGCAGGGTAATTTCATCACCCTTTGGGATGCCAATGCAATACTTGCAAAACTAAAGTTAAGTTCATGATAATATTGTTCTTTTCGTTTTCAATTAGAAAAAGGACTCAAGATTTCATTTGACATATGGAAACAAACTAATAGCAAATGGGCACAAGCGGTAGTTAACTTTTCACGGCATGATTTTTCAGTAGATTCTGCGAAGTTGTTGAAGGCAGAGGCAACACGCCTAAGGAACACCTCATGGCCACTTAGATAATCACTATCTTTCTGTCAAACAAAATGCATAAATAAAATAAGTTTGGTAAAATAACAAACTAATAATGCAACAAAACTGTTAGGATAGTTTCAATATCATAAAAAATTGATCCATAAAAAGTGCCAAGAACCAACAAACTCAAAAGCTTAAGCTGCTAGGTGAAGATCCAAATAAGTTGTATATCATATACACCCCATGTAAGGGCCCTTCAGGATTGAAGCACTGATAATGCACAGGCCCACCCCTATCTTGTGCTAAAGTTCAACTTTTATTTAGAATAGGGGTGGCAAGGATCAAGCTCTAGACAACTTGGTCATTAAGGCTCTTGATACCATGTCAAGAACTAACATTCCCAACAGCTTAAGTTGTTAGGGTAAGATTCAATTAAATTTATACCTAACATAAAAAAGCAAATAGAATACCTGAAGAAGATAAACAGAGATTGGAAGCAGTCTTTTAAGTATATGCAACAGTCTGGACCCCAACTGTGTCAAGAACAGAGAATTAAGAAATTAGTTAGGGATGCAAAACAGCAAAGGTTAAAAGTGAAACTTTTCCAGAAATGAATTTTGATAGATCAAAATCATAGTTTCTGAATAAAGAATGGCATAAACAAATGTAATTTTTTTAACAAACATTAACCAATATTTCATGATGCTTAGTTAAGGCAAATGAAGCTTCAATCTTGCCAAACAACTCTTGCATCAGAAATTAATAGTTCTTAACCACTCAAGAATTTGAAACTGTATAAAAGATTTCAGACTTGTAATTGGAATGTATCAAAAGAATTATGAATATTTCAATAATTATTGATAATGAATTAAAATAATTAAAGAAAAATTGAAAGGGTTCACATTTATAGTATTAATCACCTGATGTAGAAAAGGTTCAAATGTGTCACGAGCCCTTGCAACAGCAATTACACAAGCAGTCCTAATCAATCAAAATAAAAATTATTTTAATATTTAACAATTAGTAGTATTACAAGAATGAAAAGGTAAAGCACACAGAATTACCTAGAGTAGTTTGTTCCATCATGAATGTCTTCAACTCCGCAAGCATTTACAATTTCTTCACGAGTAATTGGGGGACACTTGATTCCTCCAACCACAAAACGAAATTCAGCCATTGCTCGATGATATTGTGCTCCACCATAAAGACGCATCCCTGCATTCTACATACAAGCATAAGCCAGACCATCAGATGTTCACGTAACAAGATTCTGAAAAAAGTCTCACCCTCCTCACAAATATAAAAATCATGCAAGTGTTAATTAACAGGAATAAGTAACATGAAATCATCAGCCAAAAGAAAAAAGATAATCATAATTATATATTTTTTTAATAAGAAGGGAAAATAGTAACATAAAAAGTAGGTCAGTTTTCCTCTGCAATTAAAAAAATGGAAGTCTCAAGTACACAGAAAAAGCAAGCCTAAAACGTACAGGTATTAGCTTGTGAGGGAACTGAACACCATCAGCACCTACAAATGCACCACCATTTATTCTCTCATCTTGTAGTGTTTCACCTGACACAAAACATTAAGAAAAAAGGTCAAGCAATTTAATCATGACCATTTGCCAACGGGAAGGAGATATCCAAAGATAGTAAGTTTGTTTTTCAATTATTAAGCATTATCTACCATTCGATATGCTTATCTGCAAAAGAGAGCTAAGGTGACTAGGTGATTTACCAAACTTATCAGGAGGCGCAACAACTGTTCCTTTAAGCAACAATGACAACTGAATAGTAGAAAATATCGTGTCAGGGAAGAAAATCTAGTCATGTATAGCTTCAAGGTTCAAGCACTCAAAGTATGGACTCAGCCGAAAAAACTAATTAAAAGCATGCATATGCAAGTCCATATAGAATATTGGATAGACAAAATAGTTTTACTCCCACAAGCTAAACATTCAGACTAAATGACCCTTCCCTTGGTAGGAGTGCTAATATCCACCAGCATAGGAAATTTACCAAATAAAGAAGAATCAGATACTTAGAAAAAAATGAATTATATCAAAGAAACCTTGGTCAAGAACATATCGTGGAAGGTTCTTCCTTTCTCCTTCAGTTTGGCTTCATCCAATGTGCTGTATATAATTTGAAGAAAGATTAAAAGTTTAAAACGAGTGACAGAAGACAGACAGAGATAAATAACAGTTTTAAGAAAATCATCATCCTTGCCCCTTCCTAAGCAGATCATGTACAACAAAAATAATTTTAAGTTTAATACGGACCTCAATTCTTGATTTATATCACTCAGCTTCCTTGTCACACTCCGATGCTCCTTCTCAAGAAGTGGAATGATCAGTGGTACGTTACTTATATACCTATCAGCATCATTGTTCAGGGATTCAGCCATAGAATTTAAAAAGTTAACCACACAAGCAAAAAATAAATTTGAGCATATTAGAACCTCTTTTGTAGCATTTCTTCCAGAAACAACCTAAGTTTGCTCACACCTATTCTACTCCTTTCTTGCTTCGACAGTGACCTGCCCAACTTCTCCTCCAAAGATGCAACATCTTCAATCTCTCTGAAGCACACCGCCTGCATCCACAAGTACGACTACATAGGTCAAGGAAATATATCATTGGGTATTACATCTTCCACAGATCAAAAGAAACAGTCCTTTGTGCACAAAATGTCAAAATGCTTATCCATAATCCAAGGGCATTATTACAAACAAATAAAAAAATGAAACTAAAACAATTTATTTATTACTTTCTTTTCAATTTTTAGAGGACATTATTGTGGTCAATTACTGATTTGTAATCAAACTTTGGGGTCATCCCTCTACAATGAAATTCCCCAATAACCAAGGACAAGCTAAGTAACTTCCTTTCAGAGAAGAGGAAAAATGCTTCAAGGATTCTATGCTTGCCACCAGAGCACAACCAATAGTCTAGGAGTAACCAATCCTAACTATTAACTATCATTAAACATAACGATTTATAGCCGAAAACCAAACAAGACAATCAATGATGCTCCGTTGCAGGCCAAATTACTTTGCCGAACAAAACATTATCGATTTTGTTGGCCGCTATTTTACATTTAAACATTGGATCATTTGCTGAAGGCATTTAAAATAATGTAAAAAAAAAGGGGGAAAACAAAATAAACAAAACAGAAAACGCACAACATACTTAACAACCAGAATAATAAAAAAACCTAAAGATTACAAGAGCAACGTTTAAAATAAAATAGCTAAGTATGAATCAAAATGAAACGTAAAGGACCTGTTTGAAGTCATCATTGGACTTGTAAAGATAACCAGTTCCACAACCAACTCTTCCAGAAGGCACGGACGTGAAGAAGGGAGAGTCGCCAAGAATGCAGCCATCAAGCGTACACGGAGGCGGCGAGAGGAATACTTCAACATCCGAAGGACAAGCGAATTGCGGTATCCTGGTGTCTAGTTTAGTTGACACGATGACAGTCCTCGACAATTCGGGATCGATCTGCATGACGACGCGGCGGGTGGTGGCGTTGCTCCAGTCACTGCAATCCTCGAGGCAGAGTATGATGAACTCCTTGTGCTGCATTTTGGCCCGCACGAGAGACTCGACGGCACGCGCCTGAGCCTGCAACGCGCGGTTCTTGCGACCGGGAGCAGGAGCGATGAGTCCGGGAGTGTCGATGATGGTGAGGTTGGGGCAGTACTTGTATTCCACTTTTATTATGATTTCCTTTGCGGAGAACTGACTCGAGTCCTGCTCCAACCTCGCGTTCTCGGCTTCAATGTAAGCCTGTATTTGGGGAAGGGACTTCTGGTGGGAGAAAGAAGGGTCGGAGTCGGAGACGAGATAACAGTTAGGGGACTCGCATTGTGGGTCGTATTTCATGTGGAGGGTTATGGGCCGCCGAGTCTTGGTGCCCCCGCCCACGTGGTTGAACTGAAAGCCCATTAGGGCCTCCATGAGGGCGCTCTTGCCGTCCGTTTGGTGGCCCACCACCAACACTGCGGGTGCGTCGAACGGCGTTTGCAAGTCCTGAGCGAGTGCGTGAAGCTCATTGTAGGCTTCGTAGAGGCGCCACTGTCGCTCTTCATCCTCTTCGTGTTCATGCTCTCTTACTCCCTCCACTGACTCCATTTCTTTCCCCGCTCTTTTCCCAATTCAGATAAGCCTTGTCTCGCTTCTGTTCGTGTGCCACCCACCACACATCTTCATTCAAATTTCATTTTACTTTACCCTTTTTTGGGAATATTATACCTAGCGTGTTCAATTATGTTCTTTTCAATTTTACGAATTGATTTTACCCGTTCTGCTTTTACGCGCCGTAAATTCCAAATTGCTTGTAAGACGGAGCCATGATTCTGATGTGTCACCAACAGACAATTGTGGCCAAAAAGAAACCAAAATAGCGGCTGCGTCAATCACGTGGGAAGTGGGAATGTTGTCTCTGTTTTCTTCGATTAGTAGTACGTAAATATCTACATTATTTTAATAATTACTATATTATTAATTATGGGCTTATACAATTGATTTTAATGTTTTATACTTTATAATTCCTTTATTAAATTTGTCTGTTTGGGCAATGAGAAGGTTTCCTCAATTATACACTAGGATTCCAGTTTTTTGTTTGTGTCAAATATATTAGATTTCTCATGCATAAACAATGAAGAAGACAACTAATAAAATATTAACGATAATTCGTTATCTATCCAAAAAGATATAAATCGTTTGATAAAAATACCAAGATTAATTTTATTTCCTGGTGGATAAATAAAAATAAAAGATTCTTAAACGGGAGACAAAGCTCTATCCCTCAGCAGGGATTCTGCTGCCCTCCTCCCAGAGACCAAAGCACCATCAAATGTAGCTGAGGTCAAGTAATCGCCGCACAAGAACAAACCCGACTCGATTCTCTGGTTTTTCTTAAGATCCGTGGGTGGGCACTGATTGGGCTGTGCAAACCCGATTCGATAAGTCCTCAAGTGCTTCCATTCCCCAACCACTTTCTCCCCAAACCAACCCGAAAGCTCCTGGACCACCTTACCCACTAACTCTTCATCGGACACACCCTCAAACACCCCGATCAGGGATACTGATACCAGACCCTTGTCGGGTGGGCCATACGATGGTGCCACATTGGTGGCAAAGAACATGTTATTCACAATTCCTTTACCCGACCCATTCAGAAACAGAACCGGGTCACTAACCGGTATCTGACCCCGGTTCGCAGAGAAATACAAACAAACAGTGCTTCGAGCCGGTTTTTTGGGAAGCGGACCGCTCCTTCCCGCCAATAGCTGAACCGCCGCGGGTTCTTCAACCGCGACGATGACCCCAAGCTCGCTCCTCAAAACCTCGCCATTCTGCAACCTCACACGCGGCGATTCGGAGTCATCAAGGTCGACGGAAACGGCCTTCGAGTTCAGCAAGATCGAACCGGACGGCAACCTCGCCGCCAACTGTTCCGGAATCGCCGATATGCCTTTCTCCGGGAGAGTGTTGTCGCCGAGGGCGAGGCACTTGAAGATGAAATCGAACAGCCGCGACGTCGTTTCGAGCTCAGGGTCGAAGAAGATCCCACCGAAAAACGGCCGGAAGAATTTTCCGATGATGGAATCGGAAAACCCTAGCTTCTTCAGTAAGTCAATTGTGGGGACCTCCTCTGCAGTGAGAATTTCTTCGTCGGATTTGGTGAGGACCCGAATTCTGGTGGATCCGATTAGTAACTTGTCGACGAGGGACCCGATTGGGTTGGTAAGGGATTTGGCGGAGTCCCAGAAATGGCGAAGAGGGTCGGCGACGGTGTGAAATTGGCCATCGTAGAAGATTCGAGCTCCAGAATAGAACTTACGGAGGTTCAAGGATTGGTAATTGAGGAGCTTTTGGGCTTCTGGGTAGGCAGTGATGAAGATTTGAAAGCCGCGGTCGAGGAGGAAGCCGTCGACAATGTCGGTGCGGACGCGGCCACCGACAGCGTCGGATGCTTCGAGGAGGAGGAAGGGGATGTTGTGGGAATTGAGGTGGGTAGCGGCGGCTAAGCCGGCGAGTCCAGCGCCGATGATGATGACTCCGGTTTTGGGGGGTGATGGAGTTTGGAGAGGTGACGAGGGGGTGGGGGAGAGTTGTGGTGAGGATTGGGGATTGAATCTGAATCGTTTTGGAGTAGAAGAGAGGAAGGAGGGGTTTGTGCAAGGGAGGGAGAGTGTGATAATAGTCATTGGAGTTGGGATAAGGTTTTGGATTAATGATCACAAGGCCTTTGCCACTGGAGGGCTCCGATTCTGGTGGACGTGGCTCTTTGATTGGTTTTGGTGGAGATGGTGATGGCGATGCACACTTGTTTTTACGTGGACTAGGGTGCAATGACAAGTGAGATATTATCCTGTAGTAAAACTATGATTTTTAATGATTGAGAACATCACAAACAATAGATAGATTTCCCAAAAGAATAATATCCGTTAAAGCACCCTTTTCCTTGCCACGAGTAGGGGATGCTTGGAAGGGGAAATAGATTAAGATGAAGTTATTTCCACGTGCATTGCATAGCTACTAATATAATGAACCCAGAAGGTAGGATACTTGTAGCTTAGTTTTAGCATTAATCAATTTTTGTCTAATTTTAGGACTGGAGGGAGGTCAGTGCAGCTCGAAAGCATAAGCGAATCCAATGCTGGCTATATGCTGAACCTGAAATTCATACCTCATGGAAGGAGATCTAAACTGTCCATAACTCCACAAAACACACAAGTAAAGGTATTCAATCAAAAAACCAGAGCATACCGATTTTTTTTATTTATTAATATCATGCCATTATTCCGAAATGTATGTGTAACTACACCGGTAATCTAGGCATCAACTGGTCATTACCTGTCACCACAGTTATACTTACCAATACATCCAACCAAGATTTTATTTATTTAAAAATTGGGAAAAATTTTCAATTGGCCGAAGAAAAATAGAGCTTTGAATTTTTCAGAGTAAGATCCATCAGTGAAGAGACATTTTATCATTCATGGGGATCGTTGCCCCAGGCAAAGTGCTGCAAATACTGGTAGTCTCCTTTTAGCAGTCACGCCATGGGGAATACTGGAAATGTATGCATTAACCTCTTCCCTAGATGGAGTTTTATCTGAACCATTTGATGGGAGGAAAACCTCAATACCATCATCCACGGGTGACCAGTCATTTAAAGTCTTGAAATTGGCTCGGCTATGATGAAGATCAGGTGAAGTTGGTTGGGACAATGTCATACGGACATATTCAGCTACTGCACCCTGCTGACGAACAATTCGACTGCTTGGGCCGTACAAGCTGGATCCTGCTCTAATAGATGATTTGCTAGTCTGGGCCTACACAAACTCGAGAATAAATACTCAATTACTGATAAGGTGTTTAGTATATTGAAAGACATGGTTGTATGCATCTTTTGATTGGTTACCCCAGATTTGCTCTTCATGGAGGGACGACTTGGATGAAGCTCTTCTTTCCCGTGTGCAAACTACAAGATATCGATACCGTCAAGCCATCAAATACCAAAGACAGACAATATATTTCCTATTATTGAATCAGAAACCCGTGCTATACTAGCTTGTTTCTCTTATTTATAGTACAACTAACAAAAATAATAGAATATATTGTAGAAGTTTTCAATAAAATGCAATTCTTAATATGTACTTTGCTACCCTTTTATTATTCTACTTCTTAATTTCCTTAAATAATAGTTCTCTCCCTAATTTCTCCTCCCGCGTGATAAATTTGTTCCTCAGATTGACCGGGGTCCATGGTCCATGGACATACAATTCTTAGAAAGACTCGGTCCATGGACATAAATTTGCTGCAATTAATAAATAATTTTACACATGCAAAATAAAATAAAAAACAGGATGAAATTAGCGGGGAAACGACAGAACGTAACAGCAATCGAAGATTTGAGCGTAGTCGCTCCAAAATCATTAATCAAAACTCTACACACGTTTTCAATCCTTAGTATCTCGCAATATGGCTTAACCACACGTATCCAGCAGTGACAAATATTTAGACTACTATTTTTTCTTGAAAGAACCAAGAAACTATTCTATACAGGAATATCTACAACTGAGCAGCAGCCCAACTGTGCCAGAATATTCAAGATGTTAAAATAACTAAACAAAAGGAAGGGCACTAAGATAGGACAAAACATCTCCTTTGACTTTTTTCAATGCAAATTGGTTTGGGAAAGTTTATGTGCGCTGATTGTAAGCCAACAGAAAAATAATTACCCCTAACAAGAAAAAAGACTTCATTATTCACAACCATACTTGGAATCACTGCCAACGCGTACACTTTTTATCTGACCTAAGATATTATTAGAGATATTAGTATACCTGAAAATCTTGAAATCAATGAGTGATTCCCAATATAAACGCCACTGCAACTTTTGCTAAAGATGCCAATATATAATTTCTCAGCGGAACAAAAAAAAAAAAGAAAAAGCACCAAAGAACTTCTATTAACGACTTTATATATATATTTATTGGAGTCTTGTTATCCCCTATCACAACCCATGAAAAGATCTCTAAAAGGTAGCAATTCAAAATTATTCCTCCTCTAATCTAACAAGGCCTGCATGAGCATTCAACGTGTAAGCACTCATAAACTAGGAATCCACACACACACGCATATATATACAAATACATATGATATCATAGAGAATATATACGAATACATTTGATATCATAGAGAATATATCCGAATCTTTAAAATATAATTATGGCGCGAACCAACCTGGCATTTGGAGTCGTAGCGGCAGTTTCCAGTTTCCTCCCACGCCCTGCAAATCTCCGTCTTCAACACGCTCTTCGACGTCGACGACGATGAGGACGAACCCCGGCCGGAGGAAGATGATGACCTTCCGTTCTTTCCTCCCGACATTGGCCTCACCAGAATATCATCCATCACGATAACGTCATCGTCCCCCTTTACCGGCGTTCTGTACATCGACGGCGACACGAGCGACGCGATCTCCAAGTTCTCAATTGACGAAAGCGGCGAGGGCGACAATCTACCGCGAGAACCGAAGCTACTGCTCCCCGAACTGTTGCCGCAGTACGGCTGCACTTTTGCAGTCCTGTACTTGCTGGAGCCAAACGTCGGAGGAGTGAAGGCTTCGCCGGCGGGCGCGACCTTCCCGGAAAGTGGAGATCCGGCGAAGAAGTAGCGCGCGAACGGCGAGCCGACGTCGATGTTCTCGGTGTACGGTTGAAATCGTGGACTCATAGTCGTTGGTTGGAGATAGCGTCCTCTTCTGTCATCCAACTCGATCTGCAACGGTGGAACATTTTCGTGCAAAGTCCTCAGCTTCAGGACCTTCATCTTGCTGTTGCTCCACGCATTTTCCATCACCTATTCCTGCATTTCAAAGACGAAAAACACGAAGCGGTTACGCCAAAAACTTTCTGCTGCTAATCAAGACGCTAACGATTTTTCCAATCGCGATTTTCTTTTCTTGGAATGAAAGCTGAACGCCAGTTTCGTTTCTCACCAAATTAAACTATTGATTTCGGCGCGGTTTTTAATTCAATGTCATTTAAGAGTAAAGCGGTTGAAATCATTGCAGAGAACATAATTTTCCTGGAAAATAAAATCGTTAAAGGAATTTTGTTTCTAAAATGTGGAGAAGGTTGAAAGTTACGGAGAAGACAGGGTCGAAGAGGCTTTTTACACACAAGTGGCAATTCGATGCGGCTTCAGTTCGTCTGCAGAGAGTAAAATGCAAAGGTGAGGGAAGAGGAAGAAGAAAATGGTGCCGCTTTCTGAGAATGAGAATTGTTCTCCTAGAAACCTCTAATTTATACATCTCAATTCGCAACGCAGATGTTTACATGCGAAAAGTGGCTCTCAGTTTTCATCGCGTTATTAAGAAACAAAATAAAAGTACAGATTTAAGAATACAATGATTTAAATGCAACAATCCACTGCCAGAGAACGATGCTGTTTATGGCTATGGGCTTTTAACGTTGCCACCTTACATTGAAGAATGAAAGCCATCATACTGACGAAACACTACAAACAATAAGAGCCTAATGGCTAATAATCAACACCCAACTATACACAAGTTATTGAACAAGCAGCAGCACAAACCCTTATGCACAAGTCCATGATTGACATGGTCCCTCCTAATTCCTAAAGTGAATCTACAACTTGAGTCACCAGCTCCCTCCCATTTCAGATACCATCAAGTGCATTTTGGAGATTCCCTCCAAAATACAACATGAGGTCGCCACCATGGACCCTGCCCTCCGGCAGACTGAAGTTGTGGCCTTTCCGAGCACCACTGCAGCCAGCAGCCGAGCTTTGGCAGTTTCTGTCTTGGCCTGACTTCTTGGCAGGCAAGAAGTTTGAATAAGATGGTGATTTCATTGAGAGCGGAACTAACACCTCCTTGGGTATAAGGTGCTGTCTTTTTGCTGGTGTTTCCATAGAATCGTAGGAGTCAGACACAACACTGACGCCTGAGGAAGAATTGTTCTCAAAACTGCTACAGGCAGTGGAAGTAGCAGGTACAAGACCACGGAAAAGTCCCGGTGCAATCAGACTTCCCTTGTTCATTTCCCGCTCTTGCACCAAGCTGCTGTGAGCAGCACAGAGCCCACTCTTTCCCCTGGCAAATTTCTCACACTTTCCATCTCCCCAACTACATCGCTTTCCTCCACCATGGGCCTTGCAGAAATCTGTGCTCCCCTGAGCACTCTTCCCACAGCCTTCAAACTTGCACCGCTTTCCCCCACCATGCCTAACACAACAGTCAGTACGGCCACGGGCACTCTTAGTGCAACCTGCCACAGCACACCTCTTTCCACCACCATGAGCAACACAGAAGTTTGTGCCTCCATGTACACTTTTAGGGCAAATGCCACCGCCATTGAAAAGGCAACGCTTACCCCCACCATGTGCCTTGCACAGTGGGGTGCTTCCTTCAGCACCTTTGGTACACCCTGCAAACGAGCACCGCTTCCCACCACCATGTGCCTTGCAAAACATAGTGCTCCCTTGGGCACCCTTGGTACATCCTTGGTACTGACAACGCCGTCCACCCCCATGAGAGATGCACAACCCAGCCTGTCCTTCAGCACTCCGGGTGCAGCCTTCTATTCTACACCTCTTACCCCCTCCATGTCTAATGCAAAGTCCTGACTTACCTCGTGCAGCTTTTGTGCACCCACCTGGATACCCACATCGCCTACCCCCACCATGTGCTATGCAATAATCCGTCTTCCCCTCAGCACTTTTAGTACATCCTAAGTATTGGCACCTCTTCCCTCCACCATGGGCCTTACAATAAGCAGTCCGACTCTCAGCACCCTTGTTGCATCCTGGTTTCTGACATCTCTGTCCACCCCCATGACCAATACAAAGCCCTGAAGCACCTCGAGCTCCCTTTGTACAGCCAAAAAACCTGCATCTCTTAGGATTGCTTGCTCGGTTCTCTGAAGTTATCCCAGTGGCCTGGGGCCCCGATGCAACATCAAGTGAGTAATTTGCAGCATTGGATGGTTCTGGGCACAATTGAGGTTTAGCCCCAAGAACTAGTTCTTGTGTCTGCACTAAACTTTTATCATTATCCATTCTTGGAGCTAAAAGAAGTGATGGCATATACCCACCTGATTTCTTTGCTGAGGTAGAACCCTCATCCACAACAGGAATCCTTGAATAATAATTTTCTACAGATGTTTGGCTTGAGAAACATGACATATTCACATCATTCTCAGTTGAACCTGAGTAGTAGTCCAGCACGCTTGATGCCTCATTTGTTACACCAGAAAGACCAAGTTGAAGGATTGATTCACATTCAGATGGCATGTGCTGAGTAAAAAGGTTGGCTGACTTTTTCTTCATATTAAACCCCACATTGTTATAGTCATCGCCATATGCCATTGGGGTGGGGCCCAATCCCAGAACCAATCTGCAGCCATCATCAGAAGCATTGGAAAACTTCACCCCAAGATTGCTCTGAGTACATCTATAACTAGTCTTATTTGATTCTCCAAAGCCAATGCCATTTAGGCACAATGTAGTATCACCAAAGTTGTCATTTTTCCTAAGTTCAGCATCATGAGGAGACAGCATAACTTCCTGGTTCAAATCCATTATCCAGATGTTGTGCACTACAGCTACAGTAGGTTGAAGTTGCAGAACAGTTCACCACATACTACTACAAGATTCACATAACTACCAGAACTTTATGGCCAGAAAAACATATTCCAATATACAGCCTCCACCACTTACAAAGCCTGATGTATCTGATCTGTCCATTTTTACTATATCCCAGAACAAAGATTTACAAAATCTTTCGAAGAAGTTTACTTTACCAAATATATCTTATAACGTCTCTAGGAAAGAAACCTTTGATAAGACTGCTTAATACTGATGTAAAGAGTTCCCTGGAGCTTCTTGTGCTCCTAGTGAATAGATCATCAAGCTTCATTAACCCTGACAAAGAGAAAAGGAAATAAGTCTTTAAATTATGAATCAATACTAATGGAAGATTCTTTTTTTTAACCTACAAGCACAACACACCTATATAAAACACAATACTGCCAGTGGTTTCAAGTGATTAGAAAAGGAAATGTCAAGTTTTCACATCTCACCCCAAACACAAGCAGAAAAACATTCCAATTTAATAAAATGACACATTAAAAGGATACAAAGATACAAATTTACAAATATATTAGTGAGTAAAGGCCTAGAAAAACCTAAAAACATATTGGCACAGAATTTCAAATGACAAGTATCTCATCAAAGCAAGAATTACAGTCTGAATTATCCAAGGGTTCAAACAAACTTACACATGTATTTTTAGTTTTGTAGCTACATATTTTAAATTACACTAAGGCATTGCAACATGAAAGACAAGTTTCCATACTACTTTGTCCTGTCTGCTCAAAATAGTAAGTGAATGCTTCCTGACTATTTAAGAAAGATAGATCCATAAAGCATGACAGTGTGAAGGCTCATAAATAGAAACATAAGAAATAGCAGAGAATAACATTTTTCCATGAAATATTTTAACAAAAATATGGAGACAAGAAATTATTGAAATAAATGTTGTTCTCTCCCACAAAATCAATTTTTCATATTTGCAGCCTGAATAGTCTGCATAAGCCTAGTCACTGCTAATTTCTAAAATTTCTTTGGCTGCTATCTTGATGTAAATTGAATGCAAAAGATGGAGTTTTTCATTTTAGTTTAGGAAATTGTGATACATCCTCTACCTCAAATGATTACTTAGAAACTAGTTACCCTTAAAATCAATATTCATGCTAAATATTAGTATAAATTTTCCAATCATTGAAAAAATTCAAAAAAAAAAAATTATCATAAACAATATGAAATTATTACATGAAAAATCAAACCTAAACAAACAAAACAGATGTAGAGTACATTTCAGTAAGCTGAGCACAAAAGTGACCAGGTACACATCACAAAACAGGATTCAAAGATTGATTATGCATCTTTCAAGAATTCAACCTTCATAAACCTAGAAAGGGTATCTAAATGCCATACCTAACATTGACAGTGAAAAGTTTTACTCAACAGGTCGAAAATAAAAGCCGAGAAGATGGGAATAGATAAGAAAATAGAAGACAAAGATTATCCATTTCATGAAGAAAGATCCTCAAATCTTTTTGGAAGAGAATGTTGAAAAATAGCTTTTAATTGAAACAGAACCAAGAGAAAAATAAATAAAAATAAAGCTTTGAACAAGGGGGGAAAAGTGAAACTGAAAACATCATAAGGAGTTCTCTGACCTTCGCCAATTTAATAGGGCTAGGATCCAATCTCATTTTGTTTGTATGGAACTTCATAATCACAAAGTCCTTTCAGTATATGATTTAATTTGCAATGTTTCCCACAGAAACCAGCTTTCCAACCATACAATAGAAGGCTAAAGATCTGTTGAGTTGCTCCTGCATGAAATTTGAGCATAACAAGCTATTCAAGCCTCAAGCTAGGAAGAAAAGGCAAAATAGGAATTCTCATCTTCAGCAGATAAGCAACAAAGCATGCTATGCTACATATCTTCAAGGTTTCAACCATTCAATCAGGATAACTTAACAATAAGATAGGTATACAAAGCAGTAACCAGTACACATGTTTGTCATATATCGCACTCACAAAAATATTAACATTAAAAAATACACACGTTATGACTATAAGAGAATCAGGAATAGCAAAGTAAAATTTGCAACTTCTATGCAACAAAGCAGTACATCCTATTAAAAAAGCACCAAATTCGCGCATTGTTTATAATCTTAATTAAAGATATTAAAAAGAAGAAAAACACCTTTAAAAAAATGAAAAATGAAAAATAAAGCCAAGGGAACATCCAGAGAAAACTAATCTACTGGAAGAATAACCACTTGCCTGCATCACACCCACACCACATCAGAAAACAAGACAAAACAAAGATTAACACTAGTAGATCGCAGGTTACCATATTTTCCCAAAAGCCTGCCATCAGAATTTACCAGTGAAACACAAACAACAACAGAGCACAACCCCCACGACCAAATCTAGTAAATTCCCCAACCAAAAGCATAAAAGAGTAACAGAAAATACTGTATTCTCACAAACAAAGAAATCCCCAACTCAAAATCCATATCCTGAATTCCAACACACACACACACCCCAATTAAAAATACCAGCAACATCAACCAAAGCAAGCATAACAAAGAAAAGGCCATAAGAAGCCAGCTAGTTGCAATTCACCACATATTAAGAAGAAAAAGCCATAAGAATCAGATAAATCAACGAATAACAGGGCAATTCGATTAAAGAAACAAGAAATTCGGGCAAAAAAAATCTGAATCGAATTACAGTTATACCGCGACGATGAAAAATCCAGATCTGAGAAACACTCGAAACCCTTCAAGTCTTCAAAACCAGTAACGAATAAGAAGACGAAGGAAAGACGGGAAATATTGAAGAAAAAACCACGGAAGGAAAGAGGAACACAAGCCTGAAAGAGAGATAGAAATTCATTACGTAATAAAGCCCAGCTAATAAATAAATCAGGGGCGGCTCTATTTTTATTTTTTTTTAATTATGAATATTTTCTTTGGCTGGTACTAATGCGTAGCTAGAAAAATATCGAGGATTTAAGAATGACAAAAGTACCCTTCTTGGCAACAAGCGTCACATGCTGGCGGGGCACGCACACTTTTGGTCGAAAAGGATACCGTGTGGAATTCCTTTACGGTCCCTGGGTCAGCGATTTGTGCGGACAGAGTGAAGGGTGTTTTCGTCTCTTCAATTTTTTGTCCACCGTGGGGTTTGTGTTTTGTCTTTGGTTAGTGGAAGCAGGAGCTGTCGTGGCATGCTCGTGTCTACCAAAGTCGAACAAATTTTGGAGATTTAATCCCCTACGGTAGATGTGGCTACACGCCACCATAGTTTTGACCGTTGATGTATGCCCAGTGAAGTCAAGTCAACGATTTCATGAAAGCGGCCAATCCACGACTTTGGTGTAAGTTTGGCACGATGACGCAACATCAGCTTCGGCTTCGGGTCAGGCAGCTTAGCTAAGCTCATTTGGGTTTATCTCTGCCAGACAATATCTCATAATAAAAATATTTTATTAAAAATACTATTAACATTTTTTTAATGTGTTTCTAAAATATTTTTTATGTAAATTATTATTATTATTTTTCAATCAATATTTCTAACATATTAATTAAAAAATTATTATTATTTGACATATGCTAAGAGCAACTAGGGTAAAAACATTCATTTTCATAATTTTAATATATTTCAACATAACATTATTTGTTAGTAAAATATATATATATATTAAATTTCTTAATTGATATTTTTAAAATAGTGGTTAACAAGATCTTACTAGTTATATGAGATTTCTTATTTCCAAAAATTTAGCTTTAATGCTGTTTAGATTTCAAAAAATCTTCTGGAGACAGATTGTTGGGCTAATATTCTCCAGAAGATGCTGAATTTGTGCTAATACTCTCACACGTATAGAGAAGCTGATAAAATAAGGATTGATTAGTTAATTTCTCTCATTCTTTTTCTTCTATAATACATATGTTAGAGTCGCCTCCTCACGAGTGCATGACTCTTTTCATGCATGCAACTATTTGGTTGAGTTTTGTTCAGGCCGTGGAGAACAACTGAACAAGACCAATGGTGGCCATGTATTCGAACTTGGAAGAAGCTAGCCTTGCACAAAATACTTCGTAAGATTCATAATCCAAAATGAGCCATTGGTTGCCATTTTGTTTTTCATTTCAAAACTCGATCAACATTCTTCTAATTATTAGGTTAAATTTATATAAGTTCCATCAATGTATGTCTCATGACTATATTTACAAAGTCTAATTTTAAATAATAAACACTATATAAATTTTACTAAAAGTTATACAAAATAATTCTACTAGTATTGCTCGACATTTTTCATTTATAAATAATTTCACATTTTTATTTAAATCACAACTATTTTTTATACATAATTTCTCTAAGAATATACACAATACAGTGAAACTAACTCTTTTAAAATAAATTTTTTAATACACGTATTTTAAACTTCAAATTTTACTTTGAAATGTTCAAACATATATCATTTAAACCAATTTCAATAATAAAAAAAATCCTTCATACCCGTTGAAATTAATTTTAATCGGCTAATCATGGAAAGCTATTAAATTAATAATTAGACTTTTAGAAGCTTAAAGTACTGGACAAAAACTCATAATTGAATTTATATATTCAACATAACGAAGTTAGCATGCATTCTACGTGAGATTCATTAATTTAATAGTTAATTTATATTTTTTATCAAATAAAATATTATAAAATTTATATAAAATTAAAATTAATAAATATTTTATTATATTAATTTATTTTCAATGTATAATATATTATTAAAATATAAATTTATGGCGTATATTTTTATTAATTTTAATTAATAAATATATTATTTTAAAGATTGATAACAACAAATTTTTTAATACATTATTATTAGTTAAAATTTATGAAAAAATATTAATATAATTCATTAAATTAATATAAAATTTACAAAATTATGTGATTTGTAATAAATTTTAACTAATAATGTAAATATAATTAAAAAATATATTAAATAATAAGTTACCTTTCTCATTTATTATATATATATATATATATATATATATATATATATATTTTTCAAATTTAAAACAAACACATTAACTGATTAAGCAACATCACCAAACGTGAAATCAACTAATCATATCGAATAAATATTGTATAAATAGTAAATTAATTATAATTGTTTCAATATGGTACATTTTTTTATTTCTATGTATGACAGTTTTAATTAAATTTACATATAGTAATAATTTAACTTTTGTGTATTATTATTGGTGTATAACTAAATTGATGTTTTTTTTATTTTTTTGCTAATAAACGCTTAAAAGAAACACACAGAACTAGATTAACAGTCTAGAAACTCAGAAATTTAAAAAATCTAGTCTTAAGAAGGATATTAAAGAGGGAAGGGTCTCCTCAAAGCAAAAGGAGAGTCTTCACACTCCAGCTCAAATTTAGCCAATTAATCGACACATTGATTGGCCTCTCTCAATATATGATTAAATCTAATAAATCTAATCCCTTTTAATAACTTCCTAATCTCCTATATTACAAAATAAAAAAAAATAGTTACTACTTTGAATAGTCAAAAGTAAAGATATAATCTCTTTGGAATCATATTCAATCTAAACATGTTAAAATTTCTTAGAGATGACAAGTTTTAAACTCTAATAGACCTCCTAAAGTTCAGCAGCTAAGGGAGAGCACAACGTTAAGGATCTATGGAAGCTAAAAATGAATCTGCCAAGGCTATCCCTGAGAAGCCCACCACAATTAGGAAATCTTGTAGAATAGAAGACAGTTCCATCAACATTGAGCTTAGTTTGAGGGTGAAAGGGAGGTTGTCATATAGTAAAGCTCACAACCCCATACCAATCATCTCCCTGCATATGATTAGATCTGCCATAGAAAATAAGGTAGTTAAACTCAGGCTTTTATTTATTAAAAAAATGACTCACAATTCAGGAGAGAATCCTGAAAAAATACTTTGTTCCTATTATTCTATAGATTCCACACAGTTATCCAAAATAATAGGGATAAGGAGAAAACTATTTTTTTAAAGATTGAGGAATAGTCAGGTAGACAACCCTCTACTAAAGAAAGAAACCTAGTAATCAAGAAAGATTATCTGATTTCAAATTTGTCTGGTAAAATAGCATCTCTGAGAGAATGAATGACATATTCAGCAGTATCATTACACCTGAAACAAACAGCAGATAAAGACATATTTTGATAATATCTTTCAATATTAATAAGGAGTTTCTCATAGACTATTTTCTAAAGAAAATACTAATTTGGGGGAGGGGGATCCAGACCAAATCAAACAAATTTGGGAGCAGGTCCTAGTGTTAATCAGAATGGGAGATTAAGTTATATGCAGATTTGACGAAAAATATACTATTATTATTATAAATCTAGTAAAAAAATCATGTTTTTTTGCATAATAAGAGAGAATGATTTAACTAATAAAAGCACAAATATGCTCAGAGAGCAAAGACTTTATCTTATATCAGTTCCACGAACCATTATGAGAGAATATAGTCATTGGGTCATTTAACTCCTCCTCAAGAATTGGATTAAGTGCATAATGCTTTATCTTTGACTAACTTGATATTTTTATTTTATAAAGGAACATTATATTAATTATTAAATAATAACATATATTTTATGTAGTAATAATATATCAAAATTAAACTAACTTATATATAAAAAAGTATTATAAATAATTAATTAAAAATTAGATGGTACGATAATTTGAATTTCTATTTGAGAATTCCAATATGTAGTACTGTAGCAGAGGTTTTTTCAAGAGAGAATTATATTATAATATAATAAATAAAATATATAAAAAACTTAATTGAAAATTTATTTATAGTTTCTTTATTATTAGAATTATTTTATTCAAGTTAACATAACGAGTATTTCAAATCACATAATGCAACCCTAGCTAAATCTTCTATAATGTCATTTAATGTCATGTAAAAAGATGAATCTTATGAAGGGTTTGGATTCAAGAGTATTCATTAAAATAACTTTTAGCTTATAAAATAAAATAAAATTAGCATGTTATAAATAATCCTAATAATCTTTGAGTAAAGGTATTATTAGCAAAATATAATTTTAATATTGATAATTAATTTGTTAGTTTCATTATAGATTTTGTTTTGTAACAAAAAAAGGAGCCATTAGTATATGGAACAATATTAAATTTGGTTTGATTTGGGTACTATAAATGGTTTAAAAACAATCTTCTAGATAATTTTTTTATTCCAAGATTTCATAATTTAATTCATCTTTTCCTAATTATAAAATTTTTTAATCCTATTTAAATCTTGTTGTGTCTTATTTTCTTTCAAATCTTGTGATCTAATTTAATTTATTCTCAATAAGTTATATCCTATAGTTAAGGAGATAAGAACTTGATTTAATCCTATAGAAGGGTTATCTTATATTATGTGTATTAGAGAAATTAGCCATTATACTTATTTTTTAGCTTTATACTTATTAAAAAGTTTAATCTAAAAAGATGTTGGTAGAAAATAAACTTTAAGTTATTTGTCCATTTGGTTAATTGTCATATTTCTTTTAGACATAAGTTATATGATATAGTTAAGAAGATTATGAACTTAATTCAATATTGTAAAATAGTTAACTTATATAGTGTGTGTGTATATATATATGTATGTATATATGAAAAATAACTATTATGCTGATTTTTTTTTAACTATTTAAGCTTATATGCACACAAGAATAGTCTTTTATTATAGTATTACTTTCTTAACTTATATTTTTTTAAAAATGGGATGATATAATACTTTGTTTTCCTATATTTATTAGTTAAATTTTATTGTTATTTTTTGAGTTACTTTTTTAACTCCATTAAATATATAAAAATAAATAAATAAACGTACTAATGTCTCATCTTAAATAGATTTATGCAAACAATAATCGACAAATCATTGAATTT